ACGAGATGAGGGAGTCCTTGTCCATCATCGCTATCAGACCAAGACGGTGGTGGAGAGCGGCGCCGCCACCGGACGGCGGTTGTTGTTGTCCATCCATGAACCGCACTCCATCGCCGCGCGTGCGGCCGTGTACCCTCGTGTCNCTCGCGGCGTCCTTGATCCATGGCCTCCCAGGTGGCGAGTGACGAGATGAGGGAGTCCTTGTCCATCATCGCTATCAGACCAAGACGGTGGTGGAGAGCGGCGCCGCCACCGGACGGCGGTTGTTGTTGTCCATCCATGAACCGCACTCCATCGCCGCGCGTGCGGCCGTGTACCCTCGTGTCCTCTCGTCCCAACTCCTTGACGGCTCGTTTTGAATGCGACGGGTGCGGAGGAGCGGGGGTGGCGGCGCTGGTGGGCTGCGGCGGCTGCGGCGGCGGCGGCGGCAGGCCCGGGGGCGAACGGGGCGGCGTGGCTGCGGTCGACGGTGGGGTTGATGATGGGGCGTCGGAGGTCGGCGACGGGGCTGAGGATCCCGTGAAGATCGGCGGAGAAGCGGGCGGCGGCGGTGCGGTGGTCGCTGGTGCAGGCGGGGTGTACGTGTACGCCCTTGATGGCAGGGGCGGCGGCGGTGCTTCATCGGCCGCAGGTACGGCGGCGGCCGGCGAGGGCGCCGCGGTGACCGAAGAACCCCCCCCGATGCCCGGCACCGGCGCCGGCGCTCCTGCCCGGCGGTTGACCCTCACGACGTTGTTGGTAAGGGCGAGGCGACCGGTGTCAGCGCGAAGAACGACGGCGGTAGGCGTCGAGCGGTTGTTGGCGCCGTGCAGGTAGAAGCACCGCGCGGATTGGACGTCCGCCTTCGTGGCCCGCTTCACGCGCATCATCCTCTCCTGGAAAAAAGGGACAACAGTGAGGGGCAGCTTCCGGCCGAAGAATGCCTCGAACGGCGACGTCCAGCCCAGGTTGGCCTTCGTCCCGGAGCGCTTGAAGCAGGCGGATGCCCACAGCGCCGCCGCGAGCCACAGGCGATGTTCGTTGACGCCGACGTTGGGGATGGAGGAGAGGTCGACGTGGCCCATGTCGAGGATGTGGCGGCGCGCGGCGTGGCCCCCCTTCATGGCGTGCCATATGGCGCTCTCGGCGACGACGTTTTGCTTGGGGGTGTCGGGGGCGGTAATGCCAGCAGCGTCGCAGAACGAGGTGAACGCGGAGCCGGTGAACTCGCCGCCATTGTCCATGCGGAAACACCCCGGAGTGCCCATGCCGTTCATGTCGGCGAGAAACCGCTGCACGAACTTCAGGGTGTCGCTCTTGGCCCGCATCCCGTACCCCCGTTGCCACCGCGATGCGCTGTCCACGAACATGATCAGGTACCGGGAGCCGTCCACCGCGTCAGAGAACGGGCCCGTGAGGTCGATGTGGACTTTGCCGAACGGTACCGCCGCGCGGGTGCCACGCCGCGGCACCGGGGCCCGCCTGCCCTTCGCCTCCACGCATCCCACACACGGCTGCATCTCCCCCACCAGTCGTACGCCCTGCTGCTTGGCCGTTTCACGCATCAAGAATTCGTTTACATGGCCGGTGAGGCATTGAACAAGTTAATGTCAATGGTCGGCGTGGATTTTCCCACCGAAAATGGGGAAGCACCGGGGGCGATAATCGCCAAGGCATGCGAGAGGAAGGGGGGAGCTACGGTTTGCTACTCACTGCATCCAGCAACAATACCTCTCAGGCAATCCAAGTCATGACTCATCACGGCAAACGCGGGGGGAGGGGGTGTTGCAGAATCGCAAACATCAAGTGCATCCGGAAAAAAATCACCCTGTGGGACCAAGTCTTTTCCATCCATCAGGCCTACATTATGGAACATGCTCATATCCATGAGAGGCAAATGGTCCTGGGGGGTCAACTTTGTTTATTTTTCTCATGTTATTTTTTTAACGACATGTGGAGGAGTTAAAATCATCTTTTTCCATATCCTTGTGACATGGAGATAAATAGTAATGACACGTTAACACTATCGTTTTCCATACCCTCGGGACATGGAGATAGTGACGGTGAAAATTTCTGTACATGTTGTTGAAAAGATTTTTAAAGATTACATATGTTGTTGTACATGTAGAGTATGAGACATTAAGTGAAAGTTTTCTGAGGTACATCTGCAATTGTCGGAAAGCAAAAAAAGAATGAAAAAAGTTTCCCTGGATTCATGTGATTGGTTGTGGGTCAACAGTCTTCCCACGAACTTCCCCTGTCCGCAGATGCTGTTTTTCAGATTAATGCGGCTTCATGTGATTGGCTGTGGGTCAACAGTCTTCCCATGAACTTCCCCTGTCCGCAGGTAGGTGCTGTTGCTTCTTCGTGGTGCGCTGCGTGACAGCTAGCTGTGCACCTTGATGACAAGGGGCTCTCACTGCTGCTGCTGTTGAGTGTTCGTGCATGCGTGCGCATGTACATTGTCCGTGTCTGCGTCGCTCCATCAATCCCAGCGCACGAAATGGCACCACCAGTACGGAGACACGAAGTGACTACTATACACTGGCCGACAGCCTCTGAACGAAGTGCTATCTATGTCGCGTTTCAAGCTTTGGGAGAGAGACGGGGGTTTGGGACCGGGAGGCACATCCGAGTCAATCGCTCTTCTTTCCAGTAGACACCAGAGAAAATATTCTTGCGCGCGGGAGGACGCGCCCGCCTTCACCACAGGAGGCCACTACGTGCTCTTCTTTGCTGGCGGTGTTGCCACCACCTCGTACGTTTAGTCTACCGTATATGACACAAGATAACATAGCCCCTGGACCGATTTTCAATGCTCGATAATCATTACTCCACGACGAAGAGGATGTATGAACGAAATGATACATTTTCGAAAAGCTCTCGACGAGACGGTTTCAACGCCGCCGTTTTCGGCGCTGTGACTGTTCCTGCAGTTGAGAAACCGAGCTTCAAAAATCGGTCAAGGGGGTGTGTGATCTTGTGTCATATACGGTATCCATGCGCCTTTCTCCCCCTTGCCTCAATCTGACGGGCGTGTTGCTGACCTCACGCCAGCCGCAAACAAACCCACCTTTCTGACCGTGCAGCCTCCCTGTTTTTGTGTTGGTGGCGCGGCAACTCCAAGGCCTTTCGCTGGGTGCTGGCCTTCTCTTTGGCCGCGCTGACATGTTCTCAGCAGACTGCTGTGTGCGTGCGGTGGTGCGTGTGATGTGTTACGTCGAAGAAAGTAACTAGTTGCTAAATCGAAAAATCATGAAAATTTTTCCACAAATCGAGTCTCCCTCGGCTCTTCAATCTGTAATTTTTTTCCTTGTTGTGGGCTCTGGCGAGACTGTCAGGAGCGATTCTCAGAACGACGGCTTAACACCAACCGGGTCTTGCACTTCCAAGCTAGTAGGAATAGACGGTTGATGTACACCCAGTCAAACGATCGTGTTACACGGTCGTTTCGGCCGCGACGGATTGTGAGACTCGGATTGAACAACAACAACAACAACATCCCACCTTTTCTGGGCTGTGCAACTTTCGGCACTTCAGTTCAGGACGCCAGCCGGGGTGACAACGCTGCCGAAATTAGTGCCAAGAATGTGAATCAATGCTTGCCAACTTCCCTCGCGCGCAGGAACGGTAACGGATGCATCAATTGCGCCAATCAGATCTCCTGCTACGCGGCGGATCCGTGTTTCGAAGAATTCTGCGACGAGTGCTGGGAGAAGCAGGGGGGGGACTACGAGCCGTACTGTTGAAGCTGGGTTAGATCGAACGGACGGACGAACGAATGGTCGCCACCTCGCACTCAGGACGAAAACCGAATACCTTGGGAAAAAAATAGGCGTTGCGCTTTGACCTTGGGGGGAAGGTTGTGTATTATTTCGTTGTTTAGGTTTTCTTCTCTCTCGGTGTGTGTGTTTGTCCTTGTTTAGCACCGTCTGCGCTGCGAAAAACGGGTGACCAATACTTGCGCCCGTCGTACAGCGGGATGGCAAGAACGCGAACGAACGTGTTTTCAAGTCAACGGAGCTCCCGACGGGGAGGGTGAGGAATGGAGGTGTGTGTGTAGCTATGTGTTTTTTTTGTTTAGCATGGCCGCGCTCACCGGCTGACCAGTAGTATACGGTGTCAGTCTCAGTGCCGTTGAAAACACATGCTTCTAAAGGCCATGGTGTAACGCAAATCGTGTGCTCTTTTGTGGAGGGTGTACTGTTGTAGGTTCGAGCTGTGTAGATCGCCCAAGCATAGTTTCCGTACCCATCAAAACCCGTCGACTCTTGTGATGAACATAGCACAGATGCCACCAGCTAATTGTAGACGAGAAAAAAACAATTTATGTGCGAGGCGATAACGGGACGAAGTAACTTAGCCTCTAAATCGCCGATGTCCTCCGTAGCCGGAAGGTTTTTACGAAACACTGGTGGGTTAGGAAACACCATATCACGAGCCTCCAAATATTTCAAGGCAGCGTTGAGCACCTTTCCGCGTGTATTTTGTCCAGAAAACAGAGTGCCTTCCGGGGATGATGACCCCAACACCAAACAAGTTGCCCTCGTATGTATGTAGATATTCCCCGGTGCCAACAACGGACGAGTGTCTTTTTTTGCGTCATCCGGTGCGTGATCTCGTCGCTTGTGCTGCTCGTGGTTTTCTGCCTACCTATCCTTGGACTTGACGCACTTCTCTTCCCTTCTCTTCTCTTCTCTCCTCTTCTCTTCTCTTCTGCTTGCTTCAACACTTTCGACCTGGTGTGTCACACAGGACGGTTCCCAGTGTACATGTGGTGGTGCATGCATGCATGCGAGTGCTCATTTCTTCCCTCAAAAATGCACACATGAAATACTACTTACTGCCTTTCACTTGTCTATCCGGCGAACGCACCCGAGAGAGGGGAAAGGGAGCGTTAGGGTGCTAGCTAATAAGTACCCTTCGATGACGCCCGTCTTTGGAGAACAAAGCTTTAGCCCTTAGAACAACAGAGAGGCTAATACTATATTCTTATAGCCCACAAGCGGGCAGAACAGATATTACATGCACCATCAAGGCACAACAACACTCTCTCTACAACTCGGAGCCAGCGACCCTCTCCTGCTGCCGCCGAAAAAAAAACTATGTTAATAATACCCTGGCAGGGTTGGATGCGCCTGTCTCTTTCGCCGTACCCCTGTCTCCCCACGCACCCCGTGTTTGTGTCCCAAGGAGCATGCAAACTACACTCGAAACCCCCAACTTAGCCCTAAGAACCTTGTGATGCGGAACCCTACTGTACTACCTACCCCCCCACTAGCCTATAGGTACGCGAGCCCCGTTGCTGATTTATCCTTGAAATCGGCGAGACTCGGCGACATCAGCCCCTTGCTCCTCGTACTGTCGCTTGGACAGCCAGAGCTGCTGGAAGGTGCCGAGGGAGCACAGGATGGACCCGCCGATCCACACGCTAAACCTTCGCTCGATCGGGGAAGCGGTCAGGGTCCGGACCTGTTTTGTGGTTGTTGCGGTGAAACAAAAAAAACGTAAATCGAGGGGGGGGGGGGGCC